TTAACTTCCTGGTGTTGGCAGTATTTTCTTTCCATCTAGTTGGATTCTTTTCAAGTTTTTCAGACTTCGCCTTCTGGTGAATGGCACTATCGCGGTTTTGTCTGAGTTGATACTCAGCCCGACAGTAGTGTAATATTGTTGATTCCCACCTTCGTTCGGTGCTATATGAAAAGTGACCCAAACGACATAAACTTTATGATATAATAATAAATAACACAAACAACAGGTAAAACACGAAAACAAGTGAAATCAAAGACGAACTTGGATTAATAACTAAATGACGTTACATGAAATAAACCCTTAGTTTTCGACAGTACGAAATTCGGCCGTTTTCTGTTAAAAGCAATATGGAGGCACAAAATTCATAGAAATTTTAATAAAATTATTGAATGTCCGACTTTTGGACATTTTAATCTGACAACTACTTACGTATAATTAACCAAGAAATTCGTAAAAATTATATGGATGGATGATAATGTTACATAAACACGTTTAAATAATTAAAACGTCAGTTTTTTAACAAAATGCCCGAAATTCGGATGCATGAAAACTGAACTTAAACGTTTTGATATTTTGACGTAACCAATTTACCTTTTTTTGTTTCCTAGCCTACTACTATAATTTTTAGACAATATAATCACAGATTAGGTATCCTATAAGTATACAGATAAAAATCTTGTCCCTAAGTCGTGGTACGAAAATTGTTTTTTTATGACGATGTGCAAACGAGTCAATTTCCTGTGCGCAAAAATAAACTCGCGTAAAATAACAATAAACAGCGTAATAGTGAGATATCGCTAAACCGAATAGCGTGCATGGACGTTAATAAGGCCAGGTGTTATTTCCTTTACGTGAGGTGGTATTAACCAATGACATCGAAATAAATTAGACCCGGCGACTTACATTTTGGCGAAATCCATTATTGCCTTAGAAAATTGCATGTATGCCAAATTTCCACTTCGACCGCATTTAAAAGGAAATCTTACCTACGTATACGTACGGGGATAGCTAATCCACATTGTAAACCAGGAATTCCAAATATAGATTACGTCGTAGAATACTTTAAACCAATAAAAATTAAAGGTAGCCTAGTATCACGAACTACTCCCAATCGGCATTAGCCGTTATTTAAATCTTCTGTAATTATAATTTTTAGATTTTAAGAAATTTAACATAAAACAATCGACAACGTCGCAACGCCAGCTGATACTGAAAACGTACGCATTTTACTATCTTTACCAAATACGTTTAAATATACGACGGCCTCCCCATAAGAGCAATGAGAGGATTTACGTCCCAGTATTGAAGGAGGACAGAAAATCGAGTCGAATGTTCAAGACATAGGTTCATCCTTGTTTAGTCAAACCTTCTACAAACCAAGGATAGACTTTTGTAGGAAATGCATTGAAATTCTATAGCCATCCTTCAATATCGGGACAGGAATTTAAGCGGTACCCTCCGTATACTTTATTTTAAACGTATTTGATCTTTACTCCTAAATTCAGGCAGCCAACAAAACATCCAGTTCGAATTCGTTCATAAATTGCTTTACGGCGTTGCCAATGTGTTGCGGTTTTTCGAAATGTTTTATGAGGTGATTTCCAGATATTTTAGTGTTTTGTGGTATTATTTTTAGTGATTTTATTCAGAAACAATAAGATAATGGTGCGAACTTGCTTAATTTGCAAAAATAGAGACGATTTAAACCTAGAAGTTTGATGTCGAAGGTGAGTAAGGCTATGTTACATCAGTGCGGTGCTGAAAGGTAAAATAGGAAAAATCTTTGGAAATATTAGTAAATCACACAGTTTTGGAACATACCGTTATAAGTAACGAACCATTACATTAAGTTAGTTTCGTCACGTTTGGTTTTATTGAATATCTTGATCATAATATTTAAATATTATCAAAACCAAGTATACAAATGCGAATATTAATTTGTTGAAAATATATATAAAAAAATTAAAGATGTCACAATTACGGAAAATGTTCAATAGTGATATATACCATATGATCGAGAAAAAAAAACGGCGTATATGGGGAATGTCATCGATGTTCATTTCTAAGCCATCTGGACGCCTTTTTTTCGATCATACTGATTGTTATTAGGATTTTTAGTTATTAAAGATGATTTTTTAAGTGTAAAATCAAAATAGATTTATATAATGGATATTAAATACTAAATACCGTATGATCGAAGAAAAAACGGCGTCAAAGACTGCTGGGATTAACAATCGAATATAATTTTGGCGAGGTCTATTTCTAGATGTCGTTTATTAAAAATTGACATAAAACTTGTCAAAAACTAATACTGATTATAGAAAAATTATAAAAGGATAGAACGTTTCCAGAAACACAAATCGATATCCAAAAAAAAAATTTTCGAATTTATATTACACCATTTAAAAATCAAATACAACCTTAAGGCATACTACTGCCAGTAAGTGTCATTAAAAAATAAACAAGAGTAGGGGTCATGACATATCACCTTGCCAAAATTATCACCGATTGTCATTTTTGACGCCGTTTTTTTTTGATAGTGTAATTTTTGTAATAGAGGAATGTATTTTTTGTTTTGTTTATTAAGACTAAAAAAAATTATATAGTTTAAAAGATGAATGCGTCTTTGTTTGATATGTTTTATTGAATAGTTAATTATTTATTCAGTACAAGGTCCCGATTATCCGCGAAGAAACTGATCCAGAAGTAAGTAAATATTTTAGAAATTTTCTTTTGTTTAACAAAGATCTTTATTATTGTTGTTATAAATAGTAATATTTTTATACCTAATATTAAATTGCAATTCTTCACGACAGTTTTAAAATATTCTCATTTTTCACCGTTGCTTCAATCAAAATAATACCATTAATTCACATAAAAGTTTTATAAAAGTCGTCTTCGGCTCGTATTCATTGAACGCTTGATGGATTATATTACTACTGGAGCAATTTACAGACATTACTATGGAAATGTGCATATCATAATTTCAATTAGTTATTTTCGTATAGAAGTGATTGGAGTATAGAAGTAGTCATTTTCAAAATTTGAAGAGCCATCTAGCACAACAATATATCGTATCCAAAAATCATATTTACGAGAATATAATATGAAGTTATATATTACAATCAAAGTAACGACACCACTGGCACACATTCTCAAGATCTCTGAACAGCGTTACCATTATCTCGGAAATCCTTCATGACTGCGATCAGCCCGTCTTGTTCCCACTCGTATAGAACAAGAAACGAATGTCTGATTCTGATCTTTCTCTTTTTATGAATGAAATGCCGGGTCTACTTTATTTAGAGGTCATTGGTATTAACTCTCTTCATTTAAGCTACACGCACACAGATGCGATCACGGCCGCGATCACGATGACGATCAGGGCAGCAATAAAGTGTTTGTATACTTAAATCTCTGATCGGGATCGTGATCGCGGCCGTGGTCGCGCCAGTGTGCGTACAGCTTTATAGTTATCGGATCGGAAAGAATTCTGATCGCGTCGCGTCCGCTATTTAAACTTAACCTAACTTTGAATTTAAAACTTTGAAATTGTTTTGTTTACTAGGTGTTTTAAAACTAAAGGGCTAAAGTGCTTATTTCCAGTACTTTATTGTTCAACGTCTACCAGTGGGTTTAGGGCAACAAGCAACAAATTCTCTTAGAAGGGCTAAGTCGTCATCTGCTGTAAACCTAAGACTCTTTATAGGTTCTTTAGTATTGGAAGAGATGGAATCCATATTTTGGGCCATATTTATTTAATTAAAACTAATCCCAGCTACTTAAATATCAAATTACCTAATAAAACTAAAGCAATAATTCAAAACAATTCAAACATAACCTAAAATAAAAGATCTCGCCGGCCGGCTTCGGTTGTCAAATATCCGCACATGCCCATTTAAGCAATTTTTAAACGTTATCAGAGGTTACTTAGAAAGAGCGCTTGGTGTAATTGGTCCGCAAATTACGTCAGGCGGTAACGTTATTAGCGGGTGTTGCGTTAAAAATTGACTCGCGCATATCGTAACCATGATAAGGTACGCGTAAATACTGGATGACGCTATTCGGTTTTCCGATATCTCTCTAATAACTGTGCCGGTCAGGCGCTGTGCACAATTTTAGAGGCCATAAGTGGGCGTGCTATGTGCGCAAACTAGTCACCTAACTAGTGCCCGATTCCGAAAATTGGAACCACGAAGAACAATAAAGAAAAAACAAAGATTATAATCTGTACAATCTGTGATATAATCGTAAGCGGCAGCCTAACATGATTTGTTTTCTTAATATCTCGGTAAGAAAGAAGATAGAAAATTGCGGTTTGCGCTGATATTTTGGAAATTTTGTGCTCTATTTAACTGTGCAAAGAGCAGTATAGCCTTCTATTTAATTTTTTTAAGCAAAAGCGCAATATCTGTTATGATGTCAAACAGCGCCCTCTAGCTACCACGAAAAAAATTGTGGAAACAAAATTTATACTGGAGATCATTAAGGAAGTAAAGCTCTTTTTTGAACGAGCCCTAGTTTGTTTAAATCGCATAACCAAACCAGAGTTATCCCTTTTTTAATAAAAGCAAGTTTAACCTTCCCCCACCACTTTATTTTATGAAATAGAGCAAAATAATCTGTATCAAAAAAATTACAAATTTCTCGATGATTACAATAGTAATATTTAAAATACCGCCCTCTAGCGGGCATTTTTCGAACTCGAAAATAATTTCCAGCGATTTCTCTGAGTCGATTTACTTTTTAGATTTTTTTCCCAAAGTTATACGATAAGTAGTTTCTGAGATACAGCCGGCGTCCATTCTTAGCTGGCCACCCGGTACTTTCATTATGTGGCAACATATGTAATCAATTTAATTAGGAAAAATAATTTTTTCGGCGCGCAGCGGCCCTCAAAACGTGAATATTTTATAATTTATATAATTAAATAACTGGGCTATTAGGATACCCTAAAAATATTTGCACTTATTTAAAAAACAAATGATAAATATAAATACCTATTTCTTCAAAACTACCCTCCATTGTCTTGTATTGAAGTAAAGTCATGCTACGCATTAAATCTCCAACCAAGATGAAATCTCCCTTTGTTTTTAAATAGAGGGATACAATATTGTTGAAGTGGGAACATTCCAATCTTAACTCCTTTTCAGCCGTCCATTCAAATAGTCTAACTGTACTATTAATATTGGCCAATAATTTACCATTAAATTCACCTAATGAATAACAAGCCCCTTTAATCTCTTTTTCAGAGATTTGAGTCAGTTTATTATCGTTCCACTGGAAGATTACAATTCTCCCTTGCTTTGGTTCTGATTCTTCAGGGTTAACTGTTGCAGTACCTGTAAAGAAAAATATGATCTGGTTGACAAAACTAACAAACTTTAATAAATCTTTCTTTAATACCTACCGACAATAAAATAAGTGTTAGGGTCATTTCCTAAATGACAAGAAATCAAAGACATTGCATATTCTTGTTGCATAAATTGATGGGCTGCCAAGACTTCAAATGTATTTTGATCGATAACAAGCAAATTGTGAATTTCCACTTCTTGGCCATATTCTGGCGCCAAACCACCTTCAATAATTAGAAAAGTTAGTATTTTTGGTGCTCCCTTATGGTTTTATCTGGATATACCTGTAGTAGTTGTAGTTACTGAACTGCTACCACTACATTTGCTCATGGCTAAAGTGGCAACACTGCTAGAAACTGTGACAGCTTGTGTCATAGTTGAAGCACTCTGTCTTACAGGATTTAATCCGGTAGAATCTTGAATGTCAATTCTGCAAGTCAGAACACCAAATACCTAAAACCAATATATAGAGTGTCTCTTAAATAAGTGTAAGTATTTTAAATGACAGTATATTTTGACCTCTAGAAAGAAGCCAATTAGTTTTTTTGCAACAAAATTGTTTAAAATTTTATATTTTTCTTGACATTTACCGGGAGATTTCAAAGAACTTTTTGGTGTCGTATGTTCATTCTCCTGGCATTTTTTGCGGATCTATCTGTCTTTTTTGTCTTTATAAATAATTTATAGCCCTATTACGAAGTATTTTAATTCAAGCTACTTGTATATGTACTTTCTTGTGCATGTGGCAACACTGGGCGTCGAATAAGCTGAGAACCGGTTGGTGCCGGCGGTTCTCAAAATGTAAGCTTTATTTTTAACAGTAATAAACATAGGTAATAAATATTACATATTTATCACTGTAGGTATTGATAAAAAGATAATTTTTGAACAAAATACCTGACTGCTCTCTTGGTATGCAATTCTTCTTGGCGATTCTTGAAGTGGTATTGTCCGTATATGAAGTTTTTGGATTTCATCTATTGTACCAATAGTTACCGAGGTTGCAGTTGCTAATGCCAAACTACAAAATATAAAATAATGCCCGCTTTTATATAAATACCTATTCATAAATATACCTATCAGGATATGCTTCAGCATTAAGTGAACACATCTGATTTACTTCCTTTAGGTTCACGTTAGAAAACACCAGCTTGTGATTCGAAGAATATATTACTGTAGGCCTGTCAGAGCAGGCAAACACATTTGTCGAATTAAGAGATCTGAAAGTTCTTAAAATAGTTGGTTGAGTTCCCAAGGTCACCTTTTTCTTATCTCTCAAAGTTCCCAATTCCTTTTGAAGAGAAAAGTAATACATAGATCCATCTCCCAGAGCACAAAGAAGATAATCGTGTCCTTCAAATGTTGCCATTAAAATTGATCTGGGCATAATATCTAAATAAAAATAAAAAAAATACATTGGATTATTAATAATGTAAACCCTACTCCTGAAGAAGTTAATGACAATGACAATTAAAATAAAAAATGAACACAGCTACGGATATGACACTATTCTCAGTAGTCTAATTAAAATACCCATTGTAGAAACGAAAAACTGTGTTTTCATATAATTCAATATAAATTTTAAATATGGAATGTTTCCCGAAAAACTTAAAATAGGTCTTATAAAGCTATTGTACAAAAAAGAGAACCATGACTATCTTGACAATTATAGGGCAATGAGTCTATTGCCTGTTTTTTTTTATTCGAACTATAAACGAGTAGAAGATTAATTGATTTTTCAGAAGATAGTGTCGTGACAGTTTCGATGTCCAACATTGATATTTCGGAAACTACAAGAGATACGAATTCGGTTAAATAATGTAATAAACAAATGTCGCTTTCTAATAAGTTTGCCAAACTAACGCCTATGAAAAAAACTACGGTATCTTAATTAGCTTGATGCTTTAAGCTTAAAAATATTTTCTAGCAGACCTTGCAGTCGAACATTGTTCTTTTTAGAACCTCTTTTAGTGCGAAGTGTACAAGATACCTTAATAGCCGTAAAAAACTCATCGCAACTTTACTTATTAGAATATTTTGAACGGGAAAGCGGTAGTAATGACCCTTTATGTCCCTTGAGTGCTGTTAAGAAGGTGAGTTTTGTTCATAGACTGGCAAATTAAATGGCAAACAGGAGGGGGGGACAAGTGACAACGTTCCGTAGCGCAACTCAGAACGCAAAATTTCGTTGTATTTATGTTGATCTTCGCATTGCGTCTATTGGGCCCACTATCTCATTCTAATATAACAAGAGAGAAAGAAGCAGCAAAACGTAATTTCTAAATAGAAATTAGAACAATCGTCTTTCGTTTTCGTCATCATGACAACCAAGATGACAACATCATGACAATTCGTCATGTTTGTTAATTTTTCTTTTGGTGATTTACCTTTTTTTCTAAACTCTCCATTTTATTGACTTATGAATTTGGATAGGGAACAAATTCCTTTATTCCATATAGGTATTTATATTTTGTTACTTATAATTTTAGGTTATACTATTTGTTATTTTATTTGCTGCAGGAGCCAGTATCATCTATTTTCTATATGTAATGGTGCCCCCTTTCTCTGATAGATATGTTAAAGACACCCGGTAAAATAAAAGTAAGTAGTTATATTTATCATCTTATTAAGAAAGAGTAGAAGTAGTACTGTCAAAAATATTTTGAACCTTAACATAACAATTAATTTTTTTCATTTTTTGGGTAGGTAGTTTATAGCTGGTTTATAGTAATCAGAAACTTTATTAATATACCTATTTTACTTTTGTTTTAGGATTAAAACTGGACTTGAAAATGGTTCAGGATCATGATTCTCGTAAAGTCTTCTTTGTTTGGATATTCACTTTGTTATTGCAATTAGGCAGTTTTTTCGAAAATGAGATTTTTAATGTCCTTTAAAAAAATTGGCCGATCGTTTCCTGCAACAGTCAGTTCTTCTGCATTTAAAATTGGTAGGTGGGTGGAATAAACACTGTTATTTTTTGTTATTATATTATAAAAAGTTTATTTATTTTTATGTATAGATAAATATGTTTATAAAACAGTACAATTTTTGCTTTTTTTTTTTTAATTTTTTTTTGAAAGAAACTGATTCAGAAACAAATTTTCACTTAAACTGATTTATTACCTACACCATGATTTTTGTTCCCTTTACGTGGTATAGGGAATAAATCAGTTTAAATGAAAATTTTCAGTTTCAGAATGAAAGAATACTACTAATAATGGCTAATTTAAATTTTCCGCCAGCCAGAATGTGCGATAATGTCTTACGATACGTTTTATACCTATCTCTTTCTTTTTCATATAAAGCACACATAATAAAGAAAGATAGCAATAAAGACGTACGTCCTGCCATGGTCCTGCTAATTGGTTTCAAAATTGTAATTCTGAGTTGCGCTACGGGAACGCCGTCCCACTCTTTACCATGAGATTTGTCAGTCTCTTTTTATTTGTTTGTCTAAGGTTTGTGTATGGTTTTGTTGATGTAAATAATAACTGTTTATATATTGACAATTAATTTATTTTTGTTTCCTAAAATATTTTGATTAAAAGAAAATATGTAAAAGTGGGCAACACTATGCTGGCCAAGCATAATGGCCAAGCCAAATTTTTGTCGGTATTTGTTTCCAATTGTACTCTGTTAAGCGAGCAATGAATTTCTTACAAAAATTGATAAGTACATTTTAAATTTATTTCGTTAGGTAAACAAGTTATTGTTAACCTACGCTCTGCAGCACTACCTCTTTTACATGTCACTAGCCGCCACTGGCCATTGCTCCTTTCTATATTTGTAAGTGATATCAACCAAATAAAACAAATTCAAAATCAACAAATTATGAAATATGCTCCACCCTAGAGGCAGGATGTAAAGATATTAATAATACCTTTATAATATATTAATTATTAAGTATATTTTTAAATCAAATTGGTCAATGGTTTGATAAAAATAAATTAATTTTACACAAAGAAGACAAAATATACGTTATTCAGAACAAAACTGTCTAAAATCCCGTCTACTCATAATATTTAACCTGTCAGTTTTGCGTGTCAGGTAAAACGAAAGGCCATCTAAAAAACTGATGATAGTGCTCAAAACGGTTGTCCTTCCTGCTCGTCAACACGTAACGTTTTGCCTGCCAGGTAAGACAGATTAAAAACAAGCGTATACACTGGAAGTTTTATCTGTCATTTTTATAAATCATAGCATTTTTTTAGTGAAGCTGAAAAGAAAAAAACATGGAAGTTTACCAAGAACAGTTAACCTAATAGGACTGCTCATTCAGCCAAAAGTGTCCGCCAGGTGCATGCGAAAACTACTCGCTTTGTGACGTCATTGTAGCCCTTGTCATGGTTATTAGTCCTTATCCGGCAACCAATAATACACACACGTGCATTATTGGTTACCGAATGCAAAACGTTCATTATTTAGTTTATTTATTTAAATACCTTATATGTATGCAGTAAAGAAAATTAACTGTATAAATCGTATTAAATACTCGGATAATGCATTTTTAAGAACAGCAGTTCCCAGCATCACCTTTTGCAAGCATTCTTTTTAGAGTACTTCCATATTTTGCCTTAAAATAATTAATAAAAAAAATCGTGGGCACTTAGTATGCACTTTGTCACAATCCACAACACAAAATGAACGTATTTATACACTCTATAGCTCTAAACATTTTAAAGACACCTTTTTCACATTTAAAATTGACAAAATAAATAACTCAAAATTTCTCAGCTGTTATTTTTATAAGTTTACCATAGGCAACTAATAATACACACTATCATGACAAGGCCACGAAGGCTTTGACAAGGGCTACAATGACGTCACAACTGTCAGCTGAAGCGCGGGAAGAGGCGAACGTACGTCTTACGAGGATGAGCAATCCTATTAGTTTACCGTTCTTGGAAATTTACTACAAAAGTGTATTTATTGATTAACTTTCATTTGTTTTTGAAAATCGTACCTATCGTTTTTAAATATTATTTCTAAACAATTTTGTAAAATTATATTATTTTGTGAAATTATTAAAGTCGCTTAATAAAGATATTCCATATTATTTAGATATTATTATTTTATTATGCATATTATTTTTTGTAAATTTACTTGTATTTTTTTCAGTAAAGGCAAAACGATAGTTTTGTTGTAAAACTAATGATCCCGTCACTTCTCTAGATGGTCATCCATCCTAATTCAAGTAAAACATTAAGTTTCAACACTAATTTCGTTTTTTCGTCTACACAGCGAGTTTTACTTTATACGTTTTTACTAAACCGGTAAGACTGACCCAGGCAAAACAATATGTGTTAGCAAGCATAGAAAATAATGAAATTAACATAAAGTGTTCAGAAAACATGAAAACTTTAGGTACAAAAAGTATTCTGGAAACTTCGGCAGCATACTCTTCAGATAAATATAAGTAAAAAAATATAATATAAATTATGTCCTAATATTTAGTTCCTGAGATGATGTAGATGTTTCATTTTTATTTTTTCCATTTAATTTCTGAAGTAACGTCAATATTTGGATGAAAATTGGTAGTTTTCTAACATGAGAAATTTGATTTTGATGTCAGTATGAACTCCTACTTGTATAGGGCGCCACCTACATATTTGGTTTGAAGAACAATAATATTTCGTCCGTACCTGTATAAAACTACTGAGTAAAATAATAAAGTAGTTACCAGTCTCTTGGTAAAAGTCGCTGTTTGGTTCTCGAGAGAATGAAGAAAATGGTTCTCCAGATATTTGGAACTGACATAAATGACAATATGCTGACTAAATAGTTATTAGACTGAAATCATAAATTTGAAATGTTTTTGTACCAAAAGTTCCACAGAAACTGTTTTATCATTTTTTAGAAGAAAAATTTATGATTAATTTAAAGAAATAAAAAGTTTAAAAAAATAAAAACCGAATTTATCATTTCAGTCAAATAACTATCTACTCAACATGTTTATTTTTGGGCCTTTTCCGAAATCAAACTGCCGAGGTAATTAAATTCCGCTACATATTCCAATAGTTCTTCTCCGATTTTTATAGCATTGTTATGATCTTCTGGGGGAGTGCACATGATTTTGGTTTTGTCGATGTTTAGCTGAAGGCCCAAAGCCTCGTATGCACAGGTATATGTGTTCAACATTTCTATTTCATCTCCGAAACTAAGCATTCTTCTATTTCATCTCCGAAACTAAGCATTTTCGGACATACATTTATACGACTGTTGTGCTTTTGATATAAATGAAATTTATTATTATTATTAATAATACTTAACCTCCACCAAGTAATTCCTTATGAGACTCAGTTAGACTAGGCAATTTTAATATTCTAGCTGAGATGTCAGTCCACAATCCTACTGCTACTATATCAGATGATGTAGCATTGTCACCCAAAGGACTGATATCAAGACACGACACTTCAACATCCAAAACTGTTTCCCTGCAAATATAAGACTTAGAATTTGCTAAAAGAACTATTATGTATTACCCTTTCAAAATTAACTCGTTTGGATAAATTTCGAGATAGTATAACTGATTTCCTGTTGATACAATTAACTGTGTTGAATTGCAGGCAACAACAATAATATTTTTTTCAGTGGGAGGCTTCCATTCAGAAACTAATGTTTTACTTTGTATAGATACTAAACGAACTGAGATAGGTGTAATCTAAAAGTAGATTCAGTATTATGTGTCCACAAGGTACACACAATATATTAATATTACTTGAATTAGCTGATCATGTGCAACATTTCCACAGAAAAAAGTTTGATGTTCCGAAGTAAAACCAGGAATATCAGTTTCTTCTACTTCTTCTCCATTCAAACTTAAAATACGTGTTTGTCCAACAAAGGCTAGTACTAATGTGTCATCCAATTTTCCTCCTTTAAAGTAATATATCTAAGTAATGTTGGTTGATATTTTCATAAATATGTTACCGTTAGCTTTCAAAGCCCACATTCCTTTAATGCCCAACAAATCAATGGAAGCATGCTCCTGAATACCAATTCCATTCCTGATTATCCTTAAAGACCCTTCTTTAAATGCACCAGAACATGTTACCAGTTGACCTTGGTTTTGGCGTTCCAAGTCTACCACACACATATCTAAAATTGGTGACAAATTGGTAAAGGTTTCCATTACAGTCACATAAGATCCATTTTCATCTCCTTTAGTATTCAACTTAACCAATTGGGAGTCGCCTAGCCTTGATCCAATAAAAAGAACTCCATTATCTAAATAAGTTATGCATTCTGGAATGGCAATTTCGCCTAAAATAAAACGTGATATTTAAAAAAAACTCTAAGATTGCATATTGCAAATTTACCCAGCATTTCAACTTTAAGATCTTTTACAATTTCTTGGGCATCACCCCTACTTTCTGTTTCTAAAAAGAGCATAAACAGATGTCCTGCCATGTCACCCAAGAGATACCTTAAACCACTAGGATCAACTCTTGCAAAGCATGTTATAGTACTTTGCTAAAAGATAATCATTATTAAATAGTATATTTCTAAGTTAAACACACCAGTGTCACAGAAAAAAAAATATATTACCTTAATTACAGGTGGGGCAACCACAACTGAAGTAATACCATCATGATATAAAATGCTTTCCTGACCTATAATAATAGCTCCACTAAGTGGTGATGGTACTGGTATGATTATTGAAGCTTCAGTTTCCACATTATCTTGCCTCCAAGGAGTTTTCACAAATTCCTTTTCCCTAAGAGATATTTCATGTGTTTTTACATGACGTCCATTTACATCTTGATGTATTAGGATCAATGTTGGATTTGCACAACCATGCAAAAATTCTACATCATGAACTTGCAATTCGTCCATTCTAAAAATTAAATAAATAAAAAAGTACAATAATTCAAAGTCAAATTACTACCTAAAATTAGTGGCCTTTAATTCATAATTGTCTTTTTCCAGTTGAATTATTTTAAAAAGACCATCATAAAGACGTAGTCCTATGACTCTAGCTTTAGGGTCTATTACAGCTAATATGCCTGTTTCAGATGGTTTACCAATACGATCTGCCACATTGCCATGGGCTTTAGTAATTATATCCAGATTATCACCATCACCTACACATTCCAGAATCATGGCATTATATCTATATGTTACTATAAACAATAAATCTTTCTTCTCATGCTACAAGAATATAATAATTATATTTAATTGTTTCAAATGATTATAATCATAAATACTTGGGGTCGGAATAATTTCATTACAGCTACTTTTCCATAGAGTCCAATTTCTTTTATTGGTCTTAAACCTTCTGGAGTAACCAAAAATATGTCTAGTCTGTTATTCTTTGCAACTATTAAATTAAGGTCCGATGATGATGTAAAATTTCCTATAATACAAAATACATATGTACAACAATAAAGAATGAATCTTAATACATAATATGAAGATATATTCTAAAGATATCAGGAAATAACAAAAAATGATATAGCAAAATTATCGTCAGTATCATATATGTGTCGCTACATAAATAAATTTGGTCCTAAGAGAAACTTATTTAAAATATAAACATAATTCCTGTAAGCAATATTAATACGAATTAAATGAGATTTACCAGTAACGCACGCCGTCACTGCGGTCGGTTTATGAGCAGTTACAACGTAATGATATGCCATTGTTATTTTACCAATTCTAAGCAGAAATGCCTTTTAATTTTAACGGCATATAGTTTGCCTTGTCGGTACCGCCTTGTCTTAAATAAGACTCGAGATCTAATAATTAATTATATAGAAATTACAAAACAGATTTGCATCTCTAACCAGCTAACCTAGAATCTTCTTATGATCTTCTTTTCATATTGTCATAATTTACATGTCGTCTTGCGTTTCCTCTTTGCCGCCAGGGCTAATCTGGACGGGATGGGACGAAGCCTACTTCGTTTACGCAAGCTGCCCATACACGGACATTTTCCGCGGACTTTGCCTTTGCCTTTTTTTATTACGATATATTGGGTAAAAGGCCCAGGCCTAGAGCACGGATTAGCCCTGGCAGCAAAAAAGATACGTTGACTTAAAATTTACTTTACAATTTGTATTTTTTAAAAAGGAAAGAGTTGGAAAAGCCGTATAGTTCCGGCAGATGAGGCCGTAAAACCAAAGAATATACCTAGCTAGAAAAAGAATGAACTCTGCCATATGAAAAATGGTCCTACAGAAGTGGCGCCATCTATTGAGTAAGGCTTGTCTTAAATGGATCGAAGCGCGGGCTTTTTAAATGAGCGTTTTTGTTGAATTTTATTCTAAAATAATTAAATTTGATTATTAAATCTTATTTTTTACACACATTCAACAATACTAATAACAAGTATTGTTGTGATGTGTAAAAAATAAGATTTAACAGTATAAATTCTATACAAATTATTAATAAAAATAAGATTTTTTTTTTTTTTTTTTTTTAATTATTTTAAAGTTCTTATTTATAAGTACAAATTATTTACAGCATACGTTAATTCATAGCTTAATCTTTCTGATAAAACAGCTAAGGAAGGAGCATAATTGCTATCCATGTAGTCATGCATGGTGGGCGGAAAAGCCACCATAAAGCTCTCTAGGGTGGGATCCTTGACAGTTCTAGTTGCGACTTCATTTGACAATATTGAATTTGATTTTGAAATTTTGTGGATATTTGTCAGCCTTTACGGAGCTTATTTTATGTTATTATTATTTATTTTTCTTACTATAGATAGTAAACTTAGATGGAAATTGTGGCAGAACTTAAATTACAGTGACACTATCGCGATTTATCGAAAAAGACTTTAAAATAGTTGGTTGTGTAGCGTGCGGTAGATCTCTTCAAAGAATTGATTGAAATAAGGAACAACTTTTCGCTAGTAAGTGACTATATAATATACATTACGTGTAGAAAACTGATTTATTTATAAAATCACATATATATAAAATTAACTTAAATTATATTATTTTTATTGCATTTTTAGCTTTTAAATTATTTTTATAAAAAAAAACTTTGTCAAAGAATTAATGTCAAAGAAATTTAGATACCCGTTAATTTGACTCTTACCTAATTTAGTAGGGTATCGGATGTTTGTGTTAATAAATACTATAAACTTATCTATTTTTATTAGAACTTATATATTTTTATAACAATTTTTAATAACTATCCAACATTTTTCACAAAACGTAAAATAAACAAACAAATTATTGAGTCTACCCCACGTCAACCCTACATCATAGTTTTACATTCCTTTAAAATAAAATTAGAGACACTGATAAACCGGAATATTAAGTCGACCATATTTGAGGCCCATCGCGGTGCACCTTAGTTTTTTGATATGCTCCTCCTTAGTCTTTTTTTCTTATTCAAAGTTTATTATAACCAAAACAAGACCAACGTAATACGCCCAAAGTTTTGTAAATGGAAGTAAATATAAATAAGGTAACTTAGAATGATGGCCAATTAAAAGACTTTACATTATATTTTTTAGGGCCACAAAACAAAAGGAATTGTCCAATTAAAAACAGCATATACACAATTTATTTTGAAAAACGTCTTGATAATCATTTATTTGATAATATTATGACAACAACAATATTTTTTGAGAATTTGACAATAATATGACAATGGCCTTGGCCGTTGGAAACTATGGAAACTACAAAAAAAAATCTGATTTAACGCCATCTGGCAATAACTAGTAGCACAGATAACACATAATCCAGATGGCCATTGCTTACGGAACAGCATGTTTTCGATGAGACAGTTCCCTATTAATGACACAGAGGGCGCCTATAGCCAAATCTAATAATATTTTTAAAACGAACGAATTTGGAGCCACACCACGGCCACGCGATGTTAAGCGACGTAGCCGGTTGTTTATATTTATAAGCAATTCCCGGTCAAACCCAGGGAAAATGTGTATTCGGACTTTAATACTAGACAATTGGATATGAAAATTCTAGTCGCAGTGGATGTTTGAAAGTCAGAATTTCTAGATGCATATGTATGCTATTTATAGCCATGAAATTTATAATTTAGATTTTTATTTTTATTAATTTTCTCTTAATATTCATTAGCTGAAAATAAGGGTAAAGTTTATCTATATAGTAATAAATAAAAATTTGTTTTTTTTTTTTTTTTTTTTACATTTAAGAAAAAATACAGAAAGGTAATGGGATTGTTTTGAAAAATTCGCACCGCTAAGGGGGTGAAAATTAAGGGATGGAAAAGCTGGCATCAAAAATTTGGTTAGAAATCTGGTTTAGAGTATGAAATTTTTAACGAGTGCTCCTTGACTGACGTAATTGAACACTAAGGGGCAATTTTTGTAAATTCGCTCGTTAAGGGTGTGATATGGGGGGTACTTTTGCATACAAAAAAAGCATGTCATAGGACTACGAAATTTTGCACAGAGTTGCCTTAAGTAGCGTAACTTAACATTTCGATTATACAAAGCATTTTAGGAAATTCTTCTACTAATGGGTGAAACTGGGGGTGAAATTTTGCATACTTTTTTAAAAATAAAAAAAAAAAATTTGAAATTTGGAAATTGTTATTAAGGTGACAAGTGAATAGCTCAGAGCCGATTTTGGACATTCATCCCCTAAGAAAATAAGGGATGAAAATTGTATTACAAATTGTTAAATCGGTTTTAGAGTATGAAAATTCTTGGTATGACGTTCCGTATGTTAATCTTTAAATTTAGCACTAAGAGCGATTTTAGGAAATTTTCCCTCTAAGGGTGTGAAATGAAGGGTGAACGTTCTGAAAAAAAATCTGTCCTAGAAGTTATGAAAATTTTGCACAGAGGTTCATCAAGTGATGAAATTTATACTCAGAAGCGAATTTTGGGCATTCATCCCTTAAAAAATAAGGACTGAAATATGTACAAAATTTGTTTAAAATCCGGTTATTAGAAGTTAAAAAAATTGTTGGCAGACGTTTCTTATATAAGGCATTAATCTTTAGCAACTAAGAAGCAATTTTTTTCGACAAATTTTCCCCTCCTAAGGGGGTGAAATGAAGGGTGAACGTTCTGAAAAAAAAATCTGTTCTAAAAGTTGAACAATTGCACAGAGGTTCATCAAGTAATGAAAGTTATACTCAGAAACGAATTTTAGGCATTCGCCCCTTAAGAAATTAAGGGGATGCAAAATATGTAAAACCAAAAATTATGTTTAAAATCCGGTTTTTAGAAGTATGAAATTGTTCGCAGACGTTCCTTATATATAAGGTTAATTTAGCATAAAGAAGCAATTTTTGAAATTTTCCTCTTAGGGGGTGAAATGAGGGGTGAACATTGAAAAATCTGTCCTAGAAGTATGAAAATTGGCACAGAGGTTCATCATGTGATGAAAGTTATACTCAGAAGCTAATTTTAGGCATTCGCCCCCATTAGAAATTAAGGAGAATGAAAATTTTGTACAAAATTCATTAAAATCGGTTTTTGGAAGTATGAATTTTGCGCAGACGTTCCTTGTGTAACGTAATTTAGCATTCAGGAACAATTTTTGGAAATTCGCCCTCTAACGGGGTGAAATAAGGTGTGGACGTTCTGAAAAAAAATTGCTTGTTATTGCTAAATTACGTTACATAAGGAACAAACAGAATTTCATACTTCTGAAACCGATTTTAACAAATGTTTTTTTTTTTTTACAAATTTTCATCCCTTATTTCACTCCCTTAGGAGATGAATGTCCAAAATCCACCTTTACAAAATTCCACACTCGTAGGACTCTTAGTATTTAACTAACAATTATATTTAAGTGCAAATATATTAAAAATTATACAGGGTGGCGCCCTCTTCATACGATCGGAGGCTCCAAGGGAGAACGACAGTTCGTGTTGAAGTGAAATTTTGTGAGCATAGGTAAGTTAATTCTGCGCATGTTTTAAAATATAGAGAGTTTTACAGGGTGCCACCAAAAGTTACAATCAAATTTGTGTTTTTTGTAACGGAATACCCCCTTTATTAATTAATCTTTTTGATTCTAAGAGAAAAATAAAGGTGTGTTTTATTAGGGAAGTATATGACTGAAATGTAGTTTTATAGACTTACTTTAAGATTTTGAAGAACATTTTTTAAATTTTCAAGAAAAACACCTAAATTGGAATTTACTCTATTGCACTTTAAATCAAATTAAAACCATGACCATTAAAGTATCTTACATTCGTTGGGGCAAAATTAATGCTGAACATAGGTATAACCTGTATAACTCCCTTTAATACCCACCCTGTATAGCTCCTTTAGTTTAATTGAATCACCCAGAATTAATTATTCCGAATATTCAATTGGGAAATTCATGTCACTTCCAAATACTATTAAAGTTGCCGGCCTACCCCTCAAACATAGATTTTCCTAGATATTTTCATTTTCTATTGATTTTATCCTCTTCTCTTACATCCTCTCGCATAGAAATATAGGGGCTGGCTTTGATATGTCTGGACGTTACTTCACATAGCTTCAAATTAGTTCACTTCTAGCAACTAGTTATCTTTATGTGTCAGTTCGTCCGTTGAAACAAAAAAAAATCTAATTAAATTTTCCGAAAATAGAAAATTATCCTACATCAGAGAGAATTATTGATATGATTTTATTAGTTAGCTCCTGATTTTATCTAGGTTGGCTTTTTTTATTTGATTAACATATATCAAATAAAAAAGCTCAGACTAGACAGTGTTAACAAGAACTCGGCCAACCAAACCAAATATTGTCTGAACTGCATTTTTTACTACTACAATATTGAATTTTACTTTGTTTTGTTGATCTTTGAAAGGTGTATAACATAGACTTAGAATAAAATAAAACTAAAAAAAAAAAAAAAAAAAAAAAAAAAAAAAAATATTTAATTTTTGTAAACATGTTTTCTCCTGGGTGCAGCTGACATCGGCCGTCTGAGTCTTTCGCCTCAAGCCTATGTTTCACGTCTAAAATGATTATTAATATTGTCTTTTTGTGTTATACACATTATTGAAGATATTAGTATTTTAATAAAGTAGTGTTTAATAGTAGAAAGATGTATTAAATAGTCCCTATACTACTAAATTATAAGTCGGAGACTATTTAAAAATGACAAATTCTTTACAATTTGGCAACACCCATCAATCGCCGGGTCGCCTGTTCATTCTTTATTCTCTCGTAGTAGAGCCATAAGGTTTGTTCTCACAGCTGTAAGAAACATATTTCCAACAGATAATCATGCGCAATAGGGTAAGACGCGTTCGCACAGAAATTTTTGATTGGTTTCCAACCAACAGTAAGCTGTTCACACAGAAAATTCTGATTGTTAGCTGACAGTCAGACCAGTTCGCGGATCTTTTGCAAGTAAAGTGTCCGGCGCATGCGTGTTGCAACTCGACGTCATTGCTTCATTGCTTGGTAAACTTAACCTACAAAACGTGTGTTGTTTTTGTTTAGTGTTTTTTTCTTCAAAAAATAAAAGAACAGAAATGAGCGATTTTGAATCTTCCGAAGAATCTGAGGCGTCCGAATTTTCGGATACAGACACAGACCTAGGTGTTGATAGGTCTGTTCCAGATCAGTTAGCAAGTTTCTCATTGGTTAAAATGCGCAGAAACCTGAGGCCCGACTCTGTAAACATTTCTCTTGTCTAGTAACTCATCATTCGTATACAAATAACATAAGCTAGACAGGAAATTTCTTGCTACTGAGCTTACAGAATCCCACTGCTGATTGTTAGTCAGGTTTCTACGCATTTCAACCAATAAGAACCGCGCTGACTAGTCAGAGATTCTTCTTGAAAGAGCTGATGGAGGAACGGGCCAGGCCCAAGAATCAAAATTACTTGGATGAAACGGTGCCCCAGTTCAACAGAACTGAATTCCTGGAACATTTTAGAGTTAGCCGTGAAGTAGCAAACGATATTTCTCAAAGATTTGCAAATTTAGTGAAATACTATATGATATTTTTATGGTATGCAGGGCATCAAACCGCTAGCTTCCGTGATGTAGCTGACAGATTTAATGTGACTATCAGTGTTCTACATAAAATTATCAAAAGAATGATATATTTCTTAAGTAACCTTTCACCTGAGGTTATAAAATGGCCAAATGATGTGGAGAAGCAGGAAATAGAACAGTATTTTCGCCATAAAAATACGTTTCCCGGAATTATTGGGCTAATTGACGGAACCCACATTAAAATAGATATACCCCAGGATGATCCTGACTCCTATATTAATCGAAAGGGCTTTTACTCTGTTCAGGTAGGTTTAACTTGACATTGACACTTTTTATTTTGTTACTGCTTTTGCCTGGACCCTAATACCCACTAAATTGTTATACAGAACAATTATTACTGTACTGTATTGCATAATAGGCACGATGATGACAGTTTATGACACTCCCATGGGCGCCAGGTTGCATTATTGGCTTCCCTATTTATTTTAGAACAAACTTTTAATGGAACTTTTTGAAGTACTAGATTAGGTCAGGCTACCTACCAACTTTGATTCTTATTCTTTAAGGCATTTTTAAGTTATTTCAAATAGATCCTTAAAAACATACTCTACATCCCTGTATAACCGTAAAACACTCCAACTACCAGCAATTTATTAAATTTTATGACATTGGCATAAAAAGCATATAATTTTGACGTATTTGAGGAATCTAATTTTGCAAATATTTTAAAAACGGCTTAGCAAATGAGTTTCAAAGTTGGTAGGTAGCGACCTAATCCAATACTTCAAAAAGTTCCTTTAAAAGTTTGTTCTAAAATCAATAGGGGAACCAATAAATCGACACCCCTGAAATTAACACGGGATTTCCTATTTGTCCTTACCTGATGCATCACCCGGTATGTGAATATCAAAATTTTAAGTGTTTTTTTTTTCACAGGTGCAACTGGTATGTGACCATAATCTTCGCATTACTGACATATTCACAGGGTATCCAGGATCCGTACATGATGCCCGAGTGTTCAGAACATCTCCATTAAGTGAGACATTGGAAGAAAAATGTGGAGAATTTCACTTGCTAGGAGACAGTGCTTATCCATTATTAAAAAATGTGTTAACACCCTTTCCAGATAGAGGCCTGTTAAATAGACAACAAATTAATTACAATATACAACATTCCAGCAACAGAGTAAAGATTGAGCACTGTAATGGGGTATTAAAGCAAAAATGGCGTCAGCTGTATCATTTGAAATTAAGGGATATTAGGCTCATCGTTAACTTCATTAGAGCATGTTGTGTTCTTCACAATTTAGGGTTGCAAGATGGTGTTGCACTAGATTTAGAAGAAAATGTAGAACCAGTTGAACCTGCTCCACGTCTAGACCCCGATAATATAGAACAGGGCATTCAGGAAGATTTAAATGCTGTAGCAAAACGAAATCACATTGTAAACATCCTTGGACAATAAATGCATAATAATTTTTTGGGACTTGCCCAATACCAAGGGACATTGTTTAAAGTCTGCCAAATTATCTGTCACTTCTTGTGTAAGCCATACAAATTGTGACATATTATTTTTTTTAGTTTACTTAAATAAAACTAAAATTTCTGCATTTTTTTTTTGTTTTGTGTTATATAAAATGACAGGCTTTTCAAGAGCCGTTTATAACTATTGAAATGTAAATGTGGTTTTGAAATAATTTTTAACAAAATAATTAGGTGCTATCAAGATGCTATCTTCAGTTACAAAATCACAAGAATCACATTTATAAATGAATTTCTTGCTTCCTTAAACATTAAATCTGCTTTTATTGCACATGAAAGTTGTGTGTAAGCATTCCTTCATCCAAAAACATTCATTGCTTTCAGGGGAAGTGAAATTCATATAAAAATGTCCCCTTACTGTGATGTTCTAACAAATTTAGCATAGAAAATATAGCTTCTTTTACATATATTTTAAACACCACACATTTGCTCTGATTCTGTATTTTTTTTTTGTTTTTTTGTTAGTCTTTTATTTCTTTTCTTTTTTTTTTTTTTTTTTTTTTTTTTTTTTTTATAAAAAATCAATAATATGTATAAAAAAACATTTTTATATATTTTATCTTCTAAATAAATAAAATATATATACTACACCTCGCAGTAAATAGTCTTAGGTAGCTCTCTAGCCTGTTACTAAATGAAAATAAATTATAAACAAAAAAAAAAAAAAAAAAAAAAAAAAAAAAAAAAAAATTTGGAAAAATAAAAAAATAAAATGTTTTAAATGTTGATAAAAAATAACTTTGGAAAAACAAATCTAGTAAGTAGATTCCTGGGAACACAAAACACATTTTTTCTTTAAAATTTACTTTCCCCAGTAGTGTATTCTTTTCTTCCATAAGCTTAACCTTAGCCTTTAGAATATCAACTTTTTCCCTCTCTATCAACAATCGAGCCTCATAATATTCCTTTTTGTCCTGTCTCATGTGAACTAATGTTACATTTCTATTAAGCAATGGGGTCCTTTTCTCTTTTGATCTATCTTCCTCTGCACTTGTACTGTAGTGGCTTTTCTTCTTTGAGTTTCTGGGAATTTTAGGGACTCCTCTGATTGATTGTCAGGCATTTTCTGCACAGATTCGCTTGAGAGTAGAACAAATCTGATTTACATTTTCTTTCCCTTTAAAGATTGCATCCATTTCTCTAAATATTCAAAAATATTTAAAAAAAAAAACTTGTTTTATTTTGATTGTCCACGTATCGTTTGCATGCCTTTCAAACTCTCCATCTATTTCTACATGACCAGCTGTAACGCAAGCCATTTACAACATTACAAACCAAACCAAAAAAAAAAAAAACATTTTGAAATTTTTATTTGTGCAGCAAATTTCAACCCTCACTCTATATTTTTGGTACAAATCTAAAAGTACTTTGGTTTGATTTGTGGACCAAGTAATTGGAGCTGGAGATGTATCACTTAGTTCCTGGTTTGTTGATGCCTCAGTTGCCTTTATCGGGTGGTAAAAAAGCAAACAATCTAAACCTTGAGAGTCCTGAAAGAAAATAAAATACACTATCTATCCATATTCCCAATACGAAATGTGGTGCTAATATAAAACTACATACTCAGTCAACAATAGAAGGGTTTTTAGTATTCAAGATTAAACACAAATAGTAAAAGTTTACTTGCGACACCTTGTATTTTCAAGCATTTTTAGGGGTTTTATATTAGCCAAATGCAGCAAGAATCCGCGTACGCCGGTAATTGCCTCTCAATTTTTGTTGAAATTTGTTCAAAAAACCCTGTTTTTTTGAAATATAAAGAAGGGGGCATTTCTACATGCCAGTTATGTTATTTAGAAATGCCTCTACTTTATATTTCACAAAAAACGCATTTAAAAATAAAACTACTGAGATTAAAGTGTGCAAGTAAAATAAAACAATCAAAAAAATAAAATAAAAAAAAAAAATCTCTTAAAATATGGGGTATCACTAAAGTGAACTTTTACCACACGAACTGCCGATGGAACTACACATTAAAATACGAAATTTTAAACCTACCTGATTCACAGCTTCTAGTATCCATAATTATACAGCACAGCGGTGACGGTGGTTTTATTAATTTTCTAGGAACAATATCAAACAATATTTTCAAGGTAATTAAAAAAAAAAAAAAAAAAGTAAAGCGAGGTTAAGGATTGTTCTTCTGTTGAAAAGCGATGTTAATTCCCTGTTCGTTTCCTTCTTTATTCGGTATTAGCAATACAACTGAACGAAGTACAACAA